CAATCTCAGAAACATACAGCTATTTTGGAAAGAATCTTTGTCATTGCAGACTCAGGTAATGACTAGCAAACAAATACAGCAAAATCATGTTGCATTCAATTACATCTATTTTATTTAACAATATTTGTTTCAAAAATTAGTGACGGTAGTGTCACTTTTTGTGATGCTGTCTATACCTTCATTCTCTTTAATTTAATTTATTTATTTCTCCCTTTAATCCTTCCATGTCCTTAAATCCTTTGGTTCAGCCTAATCCTTCAAATCCTATAATTACTCAAACAAAGCATTTTAACCTTGTGGCCTTCCTGGACTCTTGCCTATTGCTTATGACATGTAGGTCTTGCATGACTAATGATGTTTACTGCTGCATTTTCTTTCCTAGGAAAATTTCATGCCACATAGATCCCGTGTATAGCAGGGCTCAGTGTCACATTATTACTGTGAGCATTGTAAAAATAGTAGTGGCTGCCTTCCACTCTTAGACCAATGGCTTCTTTTGGCAGAATTTATAGTAGACCTTAGTGTAATCCCAAATAATTAATCCTAGTAAAGCCTAGATTTTGATAATTTTGATTTCATGTAACTATTCTCAAATTCTTTGTGTCTCTTCAAAAGTGGTTTTTCATACTGTATAAGGTGTATAACCAGTTTAATTCAGGCATCTAAGAATGACAGCACTTGATGATACTATATTGGTTTGCCTGAATATTTGTCTAAACACTTAATAAACACATTGTATTCATTTCACTTAGAAGATTCTGAATATTAGGATGAGGATGCTTGTTTATGGTATTTATAATTTTTCCTGGAAGGTATTTTGTAAATAAGTAGTCATACCTTTATTTATTTTATTTATTTAAATTTTTGAAAGAGGAATGAGTGGACCTGGGTCTGACTAAAATTAACAAGTGATTTTGTTGACAGGAATTATATTTAAAAAGATAATGAAGAACAAGGAAATAAAAGGAAATAAAGGTATGGCAGGAAATTTAGAAAAGGGCTGCAAATTTTAATGACTATAGTACTGAAAGAAGATGCCCTGTTGACAATGGTGAAAACAAATGATAATGTCATAAGAGACTGGGTTTAATGAGGTCCAAAAGTGCAATGGAGAAAAGACTATAAGGGCAGAAAGAGACCGAAAAGATCACGGTGGTATCAAGGAGTGCCAAATTAAGCATGTGAAAATACAGGAAACAAACACCTGGAATGTGAGTAATAGAAACAAATCAGCCTGAAGGAATAAAGGAACTAGATATGTGTATCTGTGAATTTTGTATGTATTCTAAATTAATATTAAATGTTATGATTCTAGCTGAAAAAAACTCCACAATCCTGTTTTCAACATTAAGCACCTGTGTTAGCAAAAAGTTCTAAACTATGAATGTTTTAATGTAAATGTAGTAAGAAAGATACATTTCTTTGGAGATAATGATAAACAGAAGAGTCATGAAATCTGCAATGTTGTTCTGTGTTCAGCTGTTCCAAAGCTGTTGTGGGGTGGTACACGTGCTTATAAAGGGATGTACATTGATAGCTTGAATCCTGCAAGCTCCAATAGAGGGAGACTCTCCTTGTTACTGTTTTTATGACCTGTGAGCAAAATTCTCAACCAGTGTTTGAGCCAAAGCCTCTGGCCCTCACCTCTGTGCCTTTTATGTAGAGTTAATACATCACATATTTACCAGATACACATGGAGTGACTTTTTTTAATATACACACATTACTTTAAACTGCCATGGAAACATTTATCAAAATAAGATGGGATGACTTTTAGGCACCAGAGACTTGCACATCTGGGCTTGACACGGATTTATGGTATCACCTTTTCCAGCATGTCTTGGAAAGAAGTTCTGCCTAGGAAAATATGAATTCTCTTTATAAGGCACACGAAACTCAGCTGGAAGCAACAGAATACCCAGAACTATTTTCTCAATATGATTTCTTGGGAGAATGTATTTGCTGGAGATTGAGTAACTGAGACTAAGCTATTGAAAATAAAAGTGGTTCATAAAACAATTTTTAAAAAAAAATTAGAATAACCAGACTACTAAATTCACTTTCCCATCCCACACCAAAAAGGACATAATTGTAGGTACAAGAAGGGAGGACAAACATGGAGAGATATAGGATGTGGGAGAAAATTCATTTCTGGAGAAGAGACATTTTGAAAAGACTTGCATGGTCCAATTTGTGGAGAAGACATGTAAATTTAGATTTCCCCCCAGTGGAGTCAATGAGAGCATAGCTATCTCATGGCAAAGCTTACTAATTAACAAGGAAGATTGAGAAAGACACATTTCTTGTATTCCTCCATACAATTAAAGACACTATAAAGCACCATTTAAAATGCAGCTGCTGTGTAAAAAATGTGTAGGTAAAGATAATACAGGCTTGTGGTTTTTTTTTTTTTTTTTTTTTGTTTTTGTTTTTTTTTTAACCAATCTAACACTGTTGGAAAAATAGGGATGTTTTGGGACATGCACAGTTTTTGTGCACGTGGACCAAGTAAACAAATGTCTGTATCAGCTCAGATTTACTGCACAGTTGAGTTCACCTCTGCGGGATGTTACTGAGACAAATAGCATAATATGATGTGATACAACATAAAAGAGATCAGTTAAGAGAGAAAGTAAAAATATTGAAGTACTTAAATTTTAAGGGAATATATTTTAATTGGTAGTAATGTGCAAAAATGGCACCATTTAATACTGCTTATCTTAATACTTAAGATAATCTTAATACTGCTGCCAGACCACTCCAGACCCCTTATTTTCTTCTTTCCTTTAGCATTGTCACTTCTGATAAAAATGCTGTATATTATCTGAAAATAGCCTGATTACAGCATTGCTTGATTCTTTAAGAGAATTCATGGTGATTGCAATGTCTTTGAGTTTGCTGTTGCTTGCATGAAATTATTACAGCTGTGAAAAAAAGCTGAAAGTGAAATAAATCAATTTAAGGACCAACCATACTTGTTCTCAATGATCCCTGCAGCCTTTTAGTAATAATCATAATAGTCATTATGCACAATGAGCACCAGTAGTCTCCCATTATTAGATCAACAGAGCATCAGCCTGGTTTCTTCATTTTAGACCTGCTTCTTGATGTTAATCAGGATAATGCCTTAAGAAAACAAGTTCTGTGATATTTTCCTCTTTTGTTTAAATACAAGCTACAGGACCTTAACATGCAGAATCATCTGTGTCTATCCTGCAGCTTAATCTTGCATCATCTTCATAGCCTAATGTTGCCCTGTTTTCCCAGCTCTTTCCTGTTGGTTAGATACCATCTTATTATCTTTGTTGAAGACTGTCACGACAAACCTCCCCTCCCCGCCACCACCCCAGAAACAGGTAATTCTTCAAGGAGTTTGGATTTGATGAGTTTTTAAACCTTTAGTTTTTCCTGCGAGTTTAGGCTATGACAGCTACATTTTGCCGCTTTACTAAATGGTAAGGAGATTATAGGTTCTATTTTTACAATTTAAAACCTGGCTCTATTTTTATCCTTTCTGTGTCTGTTTATTCTTCTGCTGCATTTTTCAGTATTTTCCTATTTGGCTACAGTTTTTCCATTTTGGCTTTAAAAAAATTCTATATATAACTCCTAGGCTGACATTTTTTTCTTTAGAGAAAACCATCTTTCAGAAGTCTGATTTACTACTTTCACATTATAGGCTACACATTCTGTTCTTTATATGCTTTGTTTCCGTGAGATACAGATTTGGAAGATCTGTAAAAAACAATTATTCTTCTTCCTGTCTCTTTTTATTGTATTTTAAAATTTTATTATATGTTTTTAATTCTGTACCTGATCCTATGTATCTGTCATCCTGATTCTCCCTGCCAATAGGAGTGGGAGAGCTGCTAAGCTTCTGAGGGGCTGTGTGGGAACCTCCAGATGTTGTCTGCATCTTGGAGCATCCATTTATTTTGGTCTGTTGCTGTGAGATTCTTTGCAACTTTCTGCACTTAAAATGAAGAGGTGCCTGTTCCTCATTCAGATTTTAATATTGTGGTTTAAAGTGTGTTTAAGGGCAACAGAATTAATGAATTGGATCAGAATTAAAGAATGGGATCTCAGATGATAGCTCAGTTCTTATTTGTAATAATATTTTGCAAAATTTTCATTATTTTGAACAAACATAATGCTGTGGCTATTGACTGAAGAAAAGCTTGTGTGGAGACTTCTATAACTACTTCTGGGTTTTGTTGGTTCATTTAAAAACATAAAGATTCAAAGCAGATAATTTCTGTCAATCTTTGTTAAAAAGGTGGGGCATGTTTTCATTCAGGGTTATCTATTTCATGCTCTGGACTTCATAGGAGACAATTTTTCATAACTTAAATAAAGCAACCATTCCCAAAATCAGATTCAAATAAATTACCTAAGTTGTAATAAAACTGAAGTGGAATTAAAATATGAAATACAACCTAAAATGCTGTGACTGAGAAAGTCCACATCCAACAGTTACCAAAAATGTGTATCCAGGCACGCAAAGAAAGGACAAGGCAAGGATATGTTATTTTAACTGCAATACTGCAGTACAATACCCAAACAATTAATGACTCTCTCTTCTCCTTTGCCTGTACTATTTGGTTGTTTTGCACTTCCTTCAAAGTATAGACTTTTATTTCTGTGTCAAAGTGACCTCAGACATGTCAAAAAAACCCCACTCTAGCTCTAGTTTTAATTGTACTTTACTTCTAAGCCTGTTATTCTGCATCACTCCACATGGTGTCTTCATGGACCGTAAACCTTTGAAAATAATTCAGAGCCAGTTCCCTTGGAATCCAGCCTTTCCTTCTTCCCTTCTCTCCTGTGCATGTGTGTATTAACACACAGCTCATGTCGAACCCATTTGTGATTTGACAAGATTTTAAGCTGTTCACTGTGAAGATTTGATTTTTGTTTTCATTAAGGAAGGTGATCTAGTAAGTGAATAATTGTAAGTTGCTTTAGGGAGTTAAGTATGTTGGAAGAACATGGCTTTTGAAGGCTTTGAAGTGATTATTCTTTACTTTCTAAGTATGCATATTCAGAAGCAATGTTGTTCAATCCGTTACTGTAGGTACTGTAGATTCCTGAGTAAAACAGTGGGATAGTGGAACAGCATGTGAAAAAATCCCTCAGAAGAAAATCAGAGAAATGGAGTTTTTTCAACCTGGAGAGAAGAGGGCTTGGGGTGATGCAGTTTCACTCTTTCAGTACTTGAAAGTGCAGCTGTGGTGGAGAAGGAGGTGCTTTCTTCTCAAGCATGCATAGGGACGGGAAAAGAGTCAATAGGCACAAGTTCTTCAGAAAAGAATTCCTGTGGACACAGAAAAGATTTTCTTCACCATGAGAACAACTAAACTCTGGAATAGGTTGCTCAGAGAAATGGTTCCTCACAGGAGTTAAGAGCTTGGCTTGACAGAGTCCTGGGTAACTTAATCTAGATCCCTGCTTTCAAGAGTTTAGACCAGATTATCTAACAGCCATCTTTCAACTTGGACTATTCTATATTTGCTTGGTTGTTCATGTTACCTAATTTATAAAGTTGAATGTTGGAAATAATCTGTGTTTAAGGAGAAAATTCTAATGTTACTTTTAGTGTGCTAGGGAATTGTTGTGATGAGGACCCAAAGCATAGTGGGTATACAATATATAGAAAGAGAGACATAGGGAAAGACATGCAGAAAGAAGTAAGATATGTAAAAGGAGTATGATCTATAAAAAATCATCCAATCTGGCAAAGTCTTTCATGGGTTCCTTCTCCCATTTTGTGACAGCATCAGTTGCAGTGAATGTCTTAGTTACTGAGACTGTGTTAGAGATAAGCTTTTAAGACCCTTCCCAGACTTTACAAAGACAGATTAGTCATGTTCTCACTGTTACTGGAGAAAGTGTCAGTCTGCATGGGCCATCCTTTCTACTGAGAAAACTGTAGAAAACTGTTCCACCTAATCTTTGATGCTAATCCAGCAAATATTTGATGCTTATAAAGCAGTGAGATTTTTGGTTTTACTTTATCAAGACAATATTATTTTCATATGTATGAGCTGCCTGGGGACCTGGGTTAGTTATTGCACAAGCAGACTTTCTAAAAGTAGGTAGCTAAAATCATGACAGATAATATATTCAATTCTTGGTGTACCTTGAAATTAGAAAGCCAGGATAAGAAAGCCTGGAAGTCTTCAAACAATAGGAGTATATATGCCGCATTTTAAATGATCAAGGCGAATGTACATAACAGTTTTCTCTGAATTAATAATCATTAATAGTGATAAAAAGAAATGCCTACACTGCCTTTAGTGAAGACACTACAGAGAATGAAGCATAAAGCATAAAACTGTAAGTAAAAGGGGAAAGGATATATTTTTAAAAATTACATCACAGGAAATTGCCAAGGACAGTTTGGAAACCTCAAAGAGCAGGTGTCACTATGTCTTTTATGTAACTACTTGCTGGTGTTTCAGATTCAGAACTCTGTGTTACGTACCTTGGTTCCTTCTCACCTTCTGAGTTTTGTATTCCTTCTGTATGGAATCACCACAGTTCCAGCAGGAAGGAAGGACATGCTAGTGTCTAACAGAGGAGGCAGAGCTCTGAGTCAAACCTTGTAAATATTCTTATTAAGATTGTAATAAACCATAAATTAACTTTCATGCAAGACAGCAATTTTTTAGGAGGTAGAGTTTTCTCTCCAAGTTTTGTTGGAATGCAAAACGAGCTGCTGCTGCTTGCAATGAAAATGTGCCCGTTTCTTTAGAGAAGAAAACCTACAGTGATGCAAAATTCTTCCCAATGCTTTCTTCTTTTTAGATACTTGTGGAATAAACTCAGAGCAAATTAATAATTTTGTTCATCAAACTCCTGCTGGGAGCTGGAATAAAGAACTGTTCACAGCGAAATAAATGACAGGTCTTTCAGTGTTATTATTTAATAGTAGGTTAGGATTTCATGCTTGGCATCTTTCACATTATGTTTTTGAAATCTGGTCATCCGCTGGTGCAAAATTCTATATACAAACATGTCTCATTCCTCTTGTTAAAAGAATTTATATATTCTATGTACTGTAAAGCAATTTTAAAATGTTATTTTATAATTTTTTCTTCTCTTACCTCTTCTTTATCATATGAACAGACTTTTGTTCCAATTGCTTCAAGTTCTTGAGGATCTATGAGATGATTTAAATGTTAGAAGATTTGGGTCTGAGGCTTCATTTTTTTTCCCATGTTGAGAATTTCCAGGTCAATCTTGGTAATCTAGAAATAAGGTGTAAAAGGTATGAACTGTTAATAGGTGCCACTGGTTCATAGCCATTAACCAAAGTTAAGTTTGGAGATGCTCACAAAACCACCATTCCATGACCTCAGTCTCTGAAACAAGTTGAATCTCCACTTTAGCAGAAAGAAAGTGAATCCTAAATTCTGTTAAATGAATAAGTATGTAAATAAATGATGACTAAAGTTTTATTTATCACAGTAATTTACATTTTAGTAAATTGCAAAGGTAGTTTTTAAGAGAATTTTTACAGAAAACTTCTTGTAAATCATAGTTTAAAACAGTGCCCATTTTGTTAAAGGCCTTGATAAAAACCCACAAAATAAAACAGTCCAGCACCACATACATTTTGCAGTATTCAAATTATGCTTTTCAGAGACAATGATTAATCTCCTCATCCACCTTTTTATTACACCTTTCAATACTATCTCAGAAGTGTACAGATATGGCTCATTTTCACCACAACTCTGCAAAAGGAGTGATAATCACCTTGTTTAGCAAAGGGGAGGCACAGATTTGAAGGACTTTGGGTGATCTCAATTCGAAATAACAATTGGTGGTGTAAGTCACTCTTCAGACCCTGTCTGCCAGTTTTGCCAGCAAAAGGAAAACAACACTAAATTCTATGAGCTACTATGGGTAGTGGTATGATTTCTTCACTGAACTTGGCATTAAACATTTCATATGTTTAAACATGACTTCCAGTAAGGTAATGAGCTTGTCATCTAGGACATGCTGTACTGGCAGGCTGTGAAACACTCAGTTTAATTGATTTGTCAGCATTGCACAGGAATTCATAAGCGTGATATGGGATGAGAATGAGTTTCAAGAAAAGACTAGTAGTAGTAGTAGTAGTAGTTAAAGGCTACATCATAATGCAGTCAAAAACAATGAAAATTCAAGCAGTTCCTAATTGTTAAGTGCTTGATTCTACCCACAGATAATGCCTTCAGAATGTGTTTTTTAAATGATAATCTCTTAGCTTTAAAAGGGAACTCAAAGCCCTAGTGCTGCATCATAATGAGGGACAAGCCAGCTGGGACTTAAAAAAAAATAGCAAGGCTATTACATTAATTTAGAATGTGCAAGTAAACTCATCTTTTCTTCCAAATAGCTTTATAGACAACTGAATACAAAACTGTTTGCAAAGTTTTTGCTAACCACCTAAGCTCTGGAAAAATTTAAGGATCAGAGTGGAACTTTTCAGATAGTGGTCAGGGAAATACTATTTCTACAGCCTTCCTGCTTAAAAAATCTGTGCCTTTTCTTCCCCGATTCCCAATACATATACACATGTTCTAAAGAAACAGTATGGTTTGCAGAATAGAGACATTAAGTTTTTTTATGTAAGGTTTTTATATTTTTGATGTTGTAAAATCAACAATCAACTTTCTGAGAGAAGAACTTAATATTTAAATTAAGGATTTCCAGCTCTTTCCTGTGTCTCTTCTGTGTCCTTCTCTGTTGTTCCTTTTGTACTTATTCTAATTTGTATTTGAAATTAACAGGTCTTTCAAGGTGGGTTATTGGGATGGTTGGCCAAGTGATTGCATTTATCCACACCATTCTCCTTATAAATTGACAAGATGTTTCTTCAAAGTAGAATGCATATTTATGATACAATGAGGTGCACGCCATATTTTAAAATTTTGTTTAAAATTCTGTATATTTTCTCATATTTAATCTGCAAAATCCTAAGGAATTTTTCTATGTGGAACAGAAATCAAAGCAACGATAAAGTCATTTTATGACATTTACTTCAGAAAGTCATAAACACTTGTTAAACTTGGCTGGTTTTACACATTAATTCACATGGGATTTCATTTGGATTCCATGTAGCCAAAACAGATGTGTTTTAATAGCATTGAAAGTTGATTATAATTTGTTTTCTTGAACAAGCAGCTTTCATTGATGTTTTGTAGTTCAGATAAACTCTAGTGACTTGCCTCAGAGAATCTAAACACCTCTTTTGAGGCTAAAATTGTAGAAAGCATTTCTACAATTCTGAAATAATCTTTGATGTGATTTTTCAAGCAGTGACAGGTTAAAGAGACTGAAGGGGACTTTCTATGGAGAAGTTAACGAGCCTTTTCCCATTCTGCTCTCATTTACAGTCTGCCTGAAATTCTAGGAATCTTACCTGTCCAGCTACTGCTTTTTCCATAAGACAGCCCCCATTGCTACAATCAGCATGGGTTTTATAAATCCTTCTCATAATGAGATGTGTTGTGAAGTAGCAGAAATTTCTATTGTGAACTTAATGAACTTCACTGCCAAATCTGGAGAAAGGACAGGAAACACAGGGAAAGAACCAACACTTCTGACCCCATTAAATTTCTTAAATTTCATATTCTACATAAGTTCTATGGGAATATTAGTATTTCTACTCATTAAATGAATCTTAGTGAAAATAGGAGGCTCTGATAACTGTTCATTCATTCTTTCCACTAAAATTTTAATTTCCCTAATTTGTACCATGTACAAATTCAGATACAGTGAGAAATAAAGGTGCAATTTTACAACTCCTGGGTAGAGTGAATTTTGATTTTCATAGAGGTAAGGACTGTTTTCGTTTGTGTATTTTCTTATTTTGGAAAGCACAGCAAAACAAGAGACCCTTTAACATCATCAGAGGGCTTGCAAACAGATCTGGGTTAGTATTTTCATTCATACCAAATGGCTTTCACAATAGACCTGATTTGGTTGTTTAGGTATTTCTTCATTTATATGGAAATTTTTGGGTCAATAGAGAAACGACTGGCAAACTTGCTGTGAATGCTTTTGTGTCTGTACTGCCTAGTGTGTTTTGATACTTGATTTTGATGTGACGAGATATTGTTCTTTAAAAGTCCTTGGCTCTGCCTCTGCCCCTTTTGTGACCTTCAAAGAAAGTCAAAATCCCTCTTCTCTGTTGGTGCTCTCCTCTACCACAAAACACAAATACTCTTTCCTGGAATATTTGCTAAAGTCCATGGGATTTACTTTTCTAGTAGTTTGGTCATGGAGAATATTTACAGGAACGAATATGTCTCCTTTCTGTTTGATTTTCCATTCCTGAAACAAGATTTTAACCTCTTTATTTACTTCACTGAATTTTTAGATAAGTAGCATAGTTCATTCTTTGTCTAAAACCCCTTGACCTAATTTTTTTTCAACTGAAGTCAGCTTATGTTTCAACACTGGCTGAAGAATAGATTAAATTCTTCATGGATGTTTTTTAATATATATTGAAGTTTGTGTTTATGTATTGTATGCATTATTCTCCAACTGATTTGATAACTTACTGAAATATATGGTACTTTTTAAAGGCAAGAGAAAAGCAAATTTTTTTAACTGAGAAAAGATGTAGTATTTATATCGACATTATAATATTTGCCAAAATGTAACTTGAGCAGAATTACACTTAACAATTAGTTCCTGAATTATTTTCAAGCACAAAGCACTTGTCTTATTCTACTGCCTTTGAATTATCACTAAAACTGTCATCCTCATGGTTAGTACAGTAAACTTTAAAAAGTTATATCTTTACAGCTTGTTTTAATATAGGAACCTTTCATAAAAACTCTCTATATTTATTATATAAGGAGAAATTAATGTATAATGAGAAATTAATGGTGATAAGAATTTTTAACATTTTCTAAAATGCTACATATAATTTTATAATCCTAGAAAATATTTTATTTCAGAAATTCCTGTGGGACAAATATTGCAGAAATCTTAATTTAAGTTTTTTAATCCCTGCCCTTTGAGCAGTTGCAAATAAAAATAGATATTGTCCTCTAGGTTATCAGTATGAAAACGAATTCTAAGGAATTGTATATCTTTTCATTCTTGTTGGCACCATGACTTACGAATTTATATTCAAAGAAATTGAATATATCATTCTGACATTCTAATTTAATGAAACTTTTCAGATAGTACCAAAACATTTTTTGTGAGCACACAGTTCTCTATTTGTACAGAACGATGAGTCATTTTAGCCTACTGCAATTGTAAACAAGAAGAAATTGTTCTAAGAGCACACATGCCTTCCTGCTACTGTTCATATTAACATTTAGGACAGGGTGGAGCAGCCACTGAATTTTCACTGTCAAATCTTTTTAATTGCTGGACTTCTATCTTATCTTACAAGTTTTTAATAAAAAAATGTACATCTGTGGGCTTAAATAACTTTTACAAAACTGTTATGTAAACATTTTTTGTTACAAATATTTTGCTTATCTTCTGTCTTCCTTTTATTTAAAGAAACCAAGACTGACCTTAGAAAGGAAAATATGTCTTGGTCTGCTCTAGCTGATTTAAGTAATAGTACATACAGCTTTATTTCTATGCTGGAAATATCTTGATAATTTGTGTTTGTTGTTTCTATTTGGTAATAAAAAGGAAAATAAATTAGAGGTTATGTTCAATAAAGTTTGACACCATAAAATTTAGATTTTTAAGAACTTTTCCCCTAGATTACTCTAAAGAACCCAGTTTTTATAACTATACAACTTCACAGTGGATTTGAAGTGAAAGATTTATAAAGCTCTGTTGTTAAGAAGGCATGTCAGTCAATATCTAACCTGAGGTGAGGGGAAATCTCAAATTCCATTCCTCAGACTACTTCCTCCAGTCTACAGGGATGCATTCTCTTACACAGGATCTGCAGCACTAAATTCCCTCACAGAGTTAGTTGCTCATGTCATTTTTCCTTAAAATACAAGTTAGGCTCATCCTTTATTTTGTGAATATAACATGGTAGTTGGAGCATATTCTGAATTTAATTCACAACTGTTCTTGAAGGCACTCACACCAACATCCAACAGTATTTCCTGATCAATATGTGAGAGATTTCTGCATGGGCACTTGCTACCTTTCCTGAAGAAGCTGTGCAGAAAATTGTGAGAGGTTAGTCAGGGCCATCCAGCTTCAAACTGGTGTTTGCTGAATTCCTGATTCAATGCATGCTTTCACTTATAGCTTAAAAAAAAACCCCACAGAAGCAAACAAGACTGAAATTACCAGTACTTATGTAATGTAAATGTACTTATTGCAGTTTATTATTATTTGGATGCCCAGCACTAGTCAAAAAACAGTTTGAAGGAAAACAAATATCACCACTTTTTTTTCTATGAAAATTCAGAATAAAATTATGAGACAGAGTTCCTGCAGAAATTTAGTGCAACAACAATCTTTGCATATACTTGACTGGTGTTTTAAGAT